TTAGACTGATTCAGTATTGACTTTGACTGTCAATCTGGGTCTCAATTACAGTCCTCTCGATATGAATCTATACGTGAAAATGTCACAATTCACAGCATAGACGTCTAGCCAAAATTTAGGCGTGTCACCGTAGATATAAATACTGCCTGTACGATACTGTAGTCCTCAGTTTAATAATCAACCTAGATTATCCTCTCCAACTTAGATCATCCTCTCTTGTCTCTAAGTCTTCAGGCTCGTTGCCTTGAAGTCTTCCTTACTCTGACCTTAGGACTTATAAAGTTCTTTGGTTCGCTCCCCGTCGTCGGCGTTACCGCCGCTCCGAACTGGCTGCTACTAGTTCTCTTCTTCTCTACTCTCAATCTCTGGGGACTAACGGCGTAACGGTGGTGTTGTTAATAACTTCACCACTGTCCCCTCATAGCTTCCACCCTTAGTTACCGATCGGCCCTTGGCACGGCTCACTGGTATACATGATCTTAACACTTGCTCCTAGCATGCTACAACATAAACCACTTATACCAACTCCACCTATAAGACCACTTCTGACCCAGGTCTTACAGATAATAGGCAATAAAATGTACAGAAAGACAATTCCAGGCTTGGGGAAGAAAATTCAGTATTTTCAGAGCAATTTTTATGATTTCACATGACATTCCTTATCCAAATTAGCATACTTCAGGCCGCCTGTGTGGGTGGGGTTTTGTAGGAGCTTCCAGGGTCCTAAATTTCATCACAATCCACAATTTATCATCTCTGGTATGCATTCATATTGTCTGAGTCATTATGATTGGCTTCCCACTCACCTTGATACATGTAGCTTCCACCTCATTCCATCCTCCCCTGTCTCCTTGTATGCAAACATGTATCCAATTTCATTATGCAACAAGTGAGTTACTGAAATAGAGTAAATTCAGTATCTGTGAAATCTATGCCCAATCACTAACACAGAATCCAACTGAGCCAAAAGGCTACTATGACAGGATAATTGTCACAGGTGGTTGGGACTATATATACCACATGTATTAAGACCTGTCCATATGATCTTAACAGTATCATCTGAATTGCTTTGTCTTTCTTAAGGTGTAGATTTTAGTGCAAGTATGAAGCAGTGCATAAGGCTTTATAAGGTGCACTACTAAACAAAACTTTGAAAGCCTTGTGGAACTTCCTTTGATCAGTATGAGTATTGAGTAGAGGAGTGCAATAGACTTTGCAAGCAAGGTGCTTTTCTTGCCTCTGATAGTGGAGATGAATGCACTAAGTCCAATTAGGGGAATAAGAGACAAATATTCAAGACATACAACAAAACAAAAGTGTTAATCCGACCTGCCTGGTTCGAACAGGCGACCCCAAGATTATTCAAACAACCAATTACAGTCTTGTGCTCTTCCAACTGAGCTAAGGTCGGGTTGAGTGGACAACGGGAAATGTGATTATGATAACCAAAAGGGACTAAGCGCTGAAAGGGCGCGAAAGTTCGAGAACATTCAGAACATTTTCTTTCCCGACTTAGTCACTTACTAGAAAGTTCTCTCCACATCTCGAAATTTCCCGACGCGCGTCGCATACACGCGTACATTGTTCCATTATTCATCCTATGTTCCGAAATTGTATAAAAGCCATGGGATTCTCCACTTTCTATCTTTATCAATATCTTGCCATCTATTAACTGAACATGTATCGCTTCCAGCCTACATACATCTCATCTCTGCCCACCGATCTGGGCTACTCACGACCTCCATACTCTCGACAAAGGTACCTCAGCCCTTTCACTGAACAGCTCAGGGCTGCCGAGGCTCAACGAGAGGAGGAGGAACTCCTTCGCCGTCTGGAGGAGATTCAATTCCAGAAACAACAAGATCGCCTCCTTCGTCGTCGCTCCCCCTTCAGTGGCTATTCTCCATATCACTCTAGCTATTTGGACGATGATGAACTCGAACGTTTCGCTGCTGTCCGTCGACCGCAGCAAGAGCTCGAGCTCGAATATATTCGTCGCAGGGAAGAAGAAGAGGCTAGACTTCTCGCCTTGAAGAGGAACGAAGAAGAGATCAAGCTCCAACAGCTCAAACGTCTTCGAGAAGAAGAAGAGGCTCGTCTGGCTATCCTTCGCTGCAAAGCTGAGAAAGCCGAAGCTACTCGGCAAACACGAGCGAAGAAGGTATGCGCAAATATATTCTCATATTGGCTTTTTTTGAAAGTCTTACTGTATCTTCAGGTTTCGCCTTGTTATCCCCAAGATACCTCGGGCGTCCAGCTTCGCCAATTGTTCGGACCTCAAGCTCAACAATTGAATGAGGTATGTATATTATCGATCCTTAATTCCTTATCTGTGCTCAACGATCTTCTACAGAAGAAGCCTCATTCTATCCGACGTCCCAGTTCTAATGTTAACAAGGAGCCGTTAACCCTCGAACAATTATTTTCGGACTTCGTTCAACAAATAAACAAAGAGCCTCAACGCGAGCAGACTCTGAAGCCCAAGGAAGAGCCTAAGCAAGAGCAAGAGCCTAAAAGGCGGACCCCTTCCCCTGCCCGCGAATCCGTCCCGACTCCTCAAACACTTGAAGATGTTCTTCGTTTGCTGTTTAATCCTCAACCTCAGGTTTCTAGTCCTGTGCCTGAGCAGAAAGTAGCATCTCCCTCAGTTCAGGTATGTCATACATCGTCCAATTTCAGCCCTGATATGATATTTATTGATACATTACAGGAAAAACCCAAAGCCATAGAAGTTGAGGCAGCTCGTACAGTGTCTGATTCTGAATCTCGTCCAGTTTCCTCGCTCTCATTGAGGGAACAACTTGAGGCTCGTCTGAACAATGATCAATCCAATGAGATCAAGGACACCATCCAGGCTGTCCTCGCTTCCTTAACTCACTCTCAACCAACCCCCACGACAGCTCCTGTCACTTCTTCCCCTTCCGTTAGCAGCCACAAAGGCAAAGAAAAAGCCTCTGAGCTTCAACCCGAGGTTCAGCCCACTCCTGGTGCCGCTCACAAGGCTCTCGAGTCTGTCAGGAACATTGAAGCTAGTCTCACTGCGCTGCAGGACGAGTTCGAATTCCCCTCCGAAGTCGACTTCTCTCCCGCTCCTTCGAGGTCCTCATCTCCTGTCCGCGACGACATTTCTGAATCCGACACATTGACTCTTAGGAAACTAGCCTATACCGCTCGTAACCATCCCATTCGATCTTACGAGCAGGCTCTCTCCAGACTTCTTGTCCAGCTCGATGAGATTGAGAGTCATGGGAATGCTGATGTGCGGATCAATCGAAAGGCTATCGTGGCTCGTGTCGAAGGGGCCTTGGAAGAACTGGAACAGAAAGTCGAGTCAAGGTGGCTCAAGTGGAATAAGGGTGGCCGCGTTGAAAGGGAAGAAGAGGTAGAGGAGGTTCAGGAGAAGGTCGAGGATGCTGCAGAGCTTTCGCAGGAAAATCAAGTAGCATCTACTCCGGATGACGTTGTCGCCGTGCAAGCCGCTGTTGAACTTATCCTCGATCTCCCCACTCCATCGCCTTATCATCTATCTGAAGCTTCTCTACCTGCAGATTCATCTTCTACTGATCCCGATGCCGTTCCGCCTGTCAAGGTAGCCGAACACATCGAAAGCTCTTCCTCTCTGGAAGCTTCTGACACCCAAATTGAAAGACGCTCACAAGAAGAGGTCGTTCCCTCCGACGCCAACGTCGAAGTGTCTGTCGTCGAACCGGTTTCCCAGGCGGAGGACAACGTCACCGACACTGAAGCTGAAGTTGAAACATTGACAGAATCAGAAGTTCCTGCTTCTTCGTACCCTCCTACATCCAACTCTTCCGAACCGTCATCCTACCCACCTGTTAGCTCCGCTGCCTCTGACGCCCCCGTTCGACCTTCAGAAATTCAGGTAGCTTCCGGCTCTGACGACAACACGGAAGATTTATCTTCATCTCCTGAAATCCCAGAATATGTTCCTCCCGTCGTCGTTGGTGAAGAATCCGAAGCTGAAGTCGTCGATACATTTTTACTTCCTGAGGATAACGCCTCTGACGTTGCTTCAAAGCAATCGCCACGAGACTCGGAGGATATGGGAAGTGATTGGTCGGAGGTCGATGCGTAGGAGTATCATCTAATTCTTAGTTTGTCGCGTATAGCATTCGGACTTTATCTATCCATCTCATCGTAATCAATAACCGAGACTTTGCATTGTACCATTAATTATCCTTGTACTGTAATAAATATAATAGAATAGAACTTGTTTGACCTGCCACCTACACGAAGCTTGTGGATATATGTATAGCAGCAACCAATCCTTACCATCCCTTGCGCCGGTACCTACTTCATCAGTTTGCCACTGGTATTCAGCCAGAGTTCTTGCTGGTGGACTCTACATTCAATTGAACAGACGGCCAGATGATTTTGCTGCTACATATACTTTCGGCTGCCTGGGATCTGGCCTCAAAAGGCAAGCCTACCTTTGCAAAAGTACTTATTATGACATACTTTATATTTATAGTGTTGTTCCTGCCCCATTGGTTTTTGTCCTCCTACCTTGTGTTTTGAACCTCACATTCTCAGTGCTATATATTATTACACTATGAAGACATGACCATGTAAAACTACAAAGGATCCAATATATGAGCAACCCTTTCACGATTGGTATTGGTAGATCTTCACACTCTTGACTTCCCAATCTACAGCACGAACAATTAGCGCACGATCTTGAAAAGAAAAAGACCGTCAAATGTGAGACGTACAAGCCTCAGTGAAAGCAGATCCTTCGGCCATGACGAAGGCCTCACAAGTAGAATAACCCGTACTTTGAGCACAACTTTGTTCCTGACCGGGAATTCCAGAATCAGTCCACACCGAGCCGGCCCAGTCACCGCTGACAAAACGGGGTAAGTAATTCAGTTTAATGGGATATCGGTTTGTGGAGAACTCTTACCAGAAAGTAGTATCAAAAATAGCTGAATGGTCATGGAAGAATGTATTCGGGTTACAACCACTTGAGGACCATTGGGCAAAAGGAGTTCCCCAGGTAGCAAGGGAAGGATTTGGTGTCCCAGCAAGGACATCGCTTGGTACTTGGCCTGCAGGCCAGAAGTGTATGCTGACACCTGTGTCGTCCAACTTGCCTATAACGAAGGTATCGCATCGTAAACACCTTACCGAAGGTCAACTGGTCACTCACTGGCATACACCCCTCCACCATTTTGATTGAACGCAGCTCCGAAAGATACATCTGACGACGAACGAACACCGCATCCCTGCGAGGTTTTGTCAATCATGTGTCCAAGAAAACCTGAATGAACCAACCTGATTGTTTGTTTCTGCAGCAGCACAGTTAGTACCACCAACAATAGTACCTGTAATGCCAAGGACGGTGGAATTCGACGATGAGATCGTGCAGCCTGGGTTGGTGTGTATAGTGGCTTGATTGTTGGTGTATGTGTTTACGCCCTCGACTATATCTGCAGTAAATGGATATTAGGGAAACTGGGTTGTGATGGAATCGCAGTAGTCAAACCTATTTCACCACCAGCTGGCCAGTCGGGGCCTTTAGAAGCACGGACGAGTGAACAAAAAAAGTATGGGCAGAGTATCATTTACCTTACCATTTGTCCAAAAAGCTCTACGAAGAACAAGTGTAAAGAACCGTGAAGGATTATATTAAAGTGGCGTAAACTTACGGCCAAGTTCCACATCCAGTTGGCATGTGGAGGGCATCCAGTATCCAAATTCCCTGGTCATATTGCGAGCTTGTCGTAATTCGCACACTCTTTCGGTTGCCAGTCAGATTGTTGGTAGTGTCCACTGACATCACAGCATTTCCTGCTGAGTTGACATATGCTAAACCTGCAGTGGTCTGGGTAGTAATTGTAATTTAGTTTGATGTTCGAAAAGATAATTGCTCGCTGAGTTGCTTACAGCATCGTTTATATCCAAGTAATCAACGACGCCTGAAATATGATTATAATGAGCAATGGAATGCTTATTTGAAGAAATTTCGATTGATGTACCATGTGTGGGATCGCTTCCAGTAAAAAAGGACCAGCCTTGGAAGAAATCGGATCCATTCTAAAGAAATGAATGAAGATGAGACCCAGCCGTTTGTTCACTATCGCGACGACTAACATGTGCTTCTATTAATTTCCAAGAAGTATAAACTGCAGAGGTGGTGGGGCTTCCTGCAGCAGCGCTATTTGTCGATGTGCCTGTCCCTTGCGAACTCGTTCCAGTTGGACTGGAACTGCTATTGCCTTGTCCTTCATTTCCGGTTGGGGCACTAGATTTGCAATATACTGCTCTGCCGTCGTCTAGAGGTTGCTGAGATGGGTCCGACACCAAGACTGCCCCAAAGGCTAAGCGTAAATCTCGAGCAACGTTTCTCGTATGTCTAGCCGCTATCTTGTGGGTGTGTTGTACGACTCT